TCAAGGCCAAGTTGGATGGGGCTTTGAGCAACCTGATCTAGTGGAAGGTGTCCCTGCCCACGGCAGGGGGGTTGGAACTAGCTGGTCTTTAAGGTTCCTTCCAACCCAAACCATTCTGTGATTCTATCTGAAAACTGAAGTTGAGCAATTGACTTCAAAGCTTGTCCATGCTGCAGATGCAGTCACCTCTGTACTGGAGCTAACTCCAAAAATCAGAGCCTTGCTTCAGGAGCCAACTCAGAGAACAGAAGAGCATTTGCGTGGTAGAAAGAGAAGTATCCACTTCGGGAGGCAAGCAATATACCTTTGTGGTTTTGCAATCTGCTGTGCAGACTTCATACTAGTTCAGATGGGCTTTTCACCTTACACGTGGTACATGATGTAGATATGGCCTCCATCTCTTGTTAGTTCAGGCCAGTAAGTTAGGCATCAGTCCTGCCCCTGGGAAATGCATGTTTGCAACCATGTTGTAGCCAACAATAAAAGCTGGGTAGCTGTAGACTCAAGAGTCAGCTGGAGCAGTTAGACTTGCTGAGCAAGTTCTCAGCCTGGTGAGCACCAGTGCAGTGGTCATCAGGAATTGCAATGCCTATTCATCTGGATTGGTGAAAACACTTAGAGAGCAAACTGACGGCTTATGCGTAAGGTCAAACTTCCTATCCACCTCTGACGCTCTTCCTCTGTTTCAGAATGATGAAGATTATCAATCGACTGCACAAGTCTATGATGCTCCTGCAGTATTTCTCCACCCAGTCCTGGGATTGGTCTTCAGATAATATGAATATGTTAATGAGTCACCTTAACACAGAGGACAAAAAGGTAAGTATGTCCTGAATATGGATTGCTAAACTCCAGTTCTGTTCATCTGCAGCAAATATTTTTGGTGTACTGTTGAGCTTATGAATGACATCTGCCTAGATGACTACAACTGACTTTAACTTGAAATAATTTATTTCCTCCTTGTTTTATTAAATAATGTATCAGGAATCTTCCATTTATTATAGGAGAATGTTTTCTCCTGAGGTGTATTGCTCTTTTCTTCTGAGACAGGTCAATCACTGCAGTCTTCCCAGTTAACATAGCACCTCTCTACCTTTTGCTCTCAGGTTTCTATTTGGCCTGTAAACAATCTAGATTTGTTTCCACAGACGAAATGGACTGTACAAAGGGAACATAACTTTATATCCTCAGTGACCCAGCTGTACTCAGCCCTTTGAGTTGGAGAAGTTAAAGGCATCGCATGTAACGGTGTCCGCTTTGCTACCTCCCATGTGGTTGGCTACATAGACTGGAATACCCAGTGGACAGGAAAGCTACAGAGGTTCCTTTTTTGATGGACATGTGATATTTCTCTTTCTAAGAAGAAAAGGTCAATTCTAGCTTTCATGTCACAGCTCTGGGACCTGAGAATTTCAGGCATCCCCTTTCATGGGGTGATATGACCATGTTAACTAATGTGCTGTACAGGGGCCCCAGAAAAATAATATCAATGGTAATGCAAAGATAGGTGCTATGGGGAGTTCCATTGTAATTAACTAATCACTGAAAAACTGTGTAGCATTCCCAATATCTTCTCATCCTAATTTTCTAAGTGTCTTGCTCTTGGAAAACTAGGAAGCTCCTTTACAACATCGCTTTCTCCCTCATCTCTTTTGGCAGTCTGTAGCTTATGGTGGGTGATCCAGATGGAAATTACTTGAAAGATTTTGACATTTTCATGCACATTGGTTTTAATGGGCACTGCACAGGAAAACTTACAGTTAACGCATAGTGTCTTACCCTGAATAATATGAAGAAAGTTCCTGTTTGATTTAAGTCTCCAGAGAGCAATTACTTTGCAGGATGTCAAGCTCTGCTGTAGTCTTTATAGGTTTGAAATACTACTCATTAAGAATGGGATTGTAACTGCAAGACTGAAGGAATACTAAGAGCAGATTTGTGATAAGCTTGAATGCATCTTTGGTCAGTATCTCTGCAAAGAGATACTTAGGCATTCACATCAAACTGGTCTCACTCACATCATGAAATTCTTGCACAGGCTCCCAGTAGTAGAATCAAGAGTTTTCTTCCCTAGTCTGCAGAGGGAGTGCATGCAGCAAATTCTAAGTGCAGTGGCACTGCTGTGACTACAGCAGATGTGGAGGAAACCTAAATGGTATGATAGGAGCTAGTTCTGAGGCACATGATAAACAAAAAAATACAGCATCAAGGGATTTAGTGCAAACCAGACAGAGTTTCAGGCTAACCAAGCTGCTTATGAGAACTTTGTGAGATGCATTGTGAGCGGTATTCAAGCTAGATAGCGTATGGGCAGCACACATCTCTATACATGTCTGACAGACACACCGGGATCTGCACAGTAGATAACCCCCTGTATTTGACAGAGTTAGCTAACCCCTCTCTGCTCAAGTTATTGCTGCTCTAATACCAAAGCTCTTGCACCAAAGCAAATGGCCTGGATTGGCATGGGGGTGAAAGGAAGGTGTTTTTCTGAGTATCTTCCCTTTTAAGACCCTGTAAATAAAAAATGCCATTCACTTTACTCACTCATTTAAAAAAAAAAAAAAAACTACAACAAAACCTCTTCCTCTTTACAAATCCTTTCTTTGCTCTAATAGACAGACAACCGCCTGAGAGCTTGCTAACAATTTTTCCGGTATAAGCATCTGAAATTAACTGGGGTAATTAGCTCTGCAATGAGATTTTTTTGATGCCAAACACCAGAGTAACCCATTTCTTGGACTTCGGTCGATCTAGCTGCTGAGAGAGAATGCAGCACAGCAGAGAGTAATACTGATGCAGAGGCACCTGTTCACTCAATGTCCAATTCATTTATTTACACATAATTCTAGTGACACATTAAAAACTGCAGGCGGGTTTTCATATGAATCCATTTACCTGAGCAGAATGCCATTTTTCTTCCATGACTTTGTGTGTGTGTGTACAAATACATGTATTTATGCAAAAATTGCCACCTGAAAGAAACTTACCTTTATTTCCTGCCAGCTAGCACTAAATTTCTGCATGCTTTGCCCAAATTCCCAGCTGTGTAAGACATTAATCAACAGCTGTGAAATATAGTCTGTTAGTGCCCATGTCTTCTTGGAAACTCGGTGGCTTTAAGAACTTCAGAGAGAGGGCCTTGTCAGGAACGGGGGTCAATGAAGAATTGATGCTTAAAGTGAACTTGTTTTGAACTCGCATTTAACTTCTGCTCTTTGTCTTTAAATCCCAGTTATACAACTTTGATGTTCGTCAGCTGCACTGGTCAGAATACATTGAAAGCTACTGCCTAGGCGCTAAGAAGTACTTGCTGAATGAGGACATGGCTGGCATTCCAGCAGCAAAGCAGCACTTACGAAAGTAAGTCATACCCGGTGACAAGGACAAGAGCTCCTGGCTACCTTGAATGGCTTTTGAGGAAAATTATTCTAGTTACGTTGCAATAATTGTTGTTGAATAATATGGAGGTAAACATAGCATAGCTTATTTCTTACAACAGAGGGTTGTCAGTATTTCATTTTTCCATCCTGTAAGAAAAAGAGGACTTTTGATGACACTAACGATCAGGGGCTAGATATTATGCCTTCCCAGCAGATGACCGAGTAACGAAGTTACAATGCATAAGAGAAATACATGAATGCAGAAGATTTTGGTCATTCAGAATTACAACAGAAAAATAAGAGTCAGATTTAGATTGTGAAGCTCCTAGAAGTTTCTAGCAATTCAGACATTGCATAAAAACTTTAAGCATTTGTATGATTTTAAATTTCATTTTAAAGTTGAAGTTTCTAATTCCTTGGGGGGAATGGGCAAAAATTCTCCAAAATCAGTGGAGAGCTTATGCATTCAATCCCTGGTGACAGTTTAAGAGAGTCTGAATGAGCAATTCGAGATTGTCCTTCTATTCAGTTAAAGATTGTGCTCTTGCTGTCTTCTCCAGCCCTTTTACTGAGAAGCGTAGGCAAAACGAGAAGGAGCAGCTCTCTTGGAGTAAAAGCCTGGTTGTTTCCTTTAAGAAAACCATTCTTGTGCACTGTAAATGCTAGAAGTGTAAAACAGCCTGTTGCCATAGCAAGGAATCCTAAACAAGTTCTTCCTTCATGGGCCATTTTTAAAGGATTTATAAGAACCTCTGTAACAGGCCAGTAACTGCCTCATAGTCCAAATAGGCAGTGGGGTATAGTACAGTGATAAAGTTTACAAAAAAAAAAAAAGGACTCTTACAAAAATTAAACCAGTCTTGGGGACGTTAGGTACAAAGCTTTCTTCCCTCAGACACTGGGAAAGTGAGAATTAGAGAACTGCAGAAACTTTTGCTTGACAGAAAGACAAGATGATTAGCATCTTAAAGACCCAATAATACCATTTAAATATATGGTGTAAACCACCCCCCCAAAACCCCAGTGCTGCAGTACTGCAAAAGTGAAGACCATTTATGATTATTGAGTAATTTCCCAACATTAAAGGCAAGGTTTCACCCAAATAGGAGAGCCTAATTCATCAGCTCCTGCAAAGGTCCTCTAGCCTGCCACCAATCCTGCAAAGTAAAAAATAGCCAATATACCAAATCAAAGCAGAAAGTGTTGGACCTAGACAATCATAAAGGAAAAAACTCTCAGTATGACTTCTGGTTTGAAATGAGAGTACACAGAACAAGAGAGACTTGCAATACAGGTATTCCACCTATTCCATTATCTATTCACTATACCCTAACTTCAACACAGTCCTTGGCAAGATGGTAGGGACATCTTAGGGACAGTGTCTTCACTAAAACAGGAATGGCAAAAAGCCCAAGGGCCGCTTGTAAACAGGATTTCTTACAAAATTACCTGTAGCAAATGAAGCAAGCTGGTAAGCTTTTTGTTGTTTTTGTCTTCCTCCATAAGATGCCTCTTTCTCTTTCTCAGGCTGAGGAACATCCGATATGCATTCAACACCACCCTCCTTGTGATCATCTGGCGCATTTTCATTGCAAGGTCACAGATGGCTCGAAACATCTGGTACTTTGTGGTGAGCCTCTGCTACAAGTTCCTTTCCTACTTCAGGGCATCCAGCACCCTCAGGCACTGAAGCCGTCCATCAGCAACCAGCCTCTTCCAGAAGGACCTCCATCTCCTCTAATCAGCAACTACGGGCATCGGGGTCTGAAAGTAGCAGAAAAATCCACTCCCTCCAGCAGCCTGCATTTATTGTGCACTCTTATATGTTCACCTTTTTTATTTTAACTAATGCTTTAATACATGGTGGTCTTTCTTCCGTAGGACCAGGCCAATTTTTAAAGCCATAACTGAAGCTTTAGGAACAGGTCAAGCTGGAACCGTTCATCTAGAGTCTGATGTGCAAGAGTAAGGGTTAACCAAAGTCACTGTCTTCCCATGTACTACCTAGGCTATCTTAATCCCATTTTCTTCCTCAAAAGAGGCAAATTTAAAGCATACAACTTTGGAAGAAAAGGATGCCGTCAGAGAAGACCCAGCCAAGGAAATTAACCTGTAAGAGGTCTTCCTTCATTCTCAGTCAGTGAAACAGTACCTTATTGAAAAACATGATTTCACATTTTCAGTTTTTCAAAACTTAGAGGGGAAAAAAGATCAGTTACACTAGGCCTAGTGTGTTCACTAGGAACTAGTGTGTTCACTAGGAACTAGTGTGTACACTGAACAGTTTTCAGATCTTGTCTTATATTGCTACTGAGGACTGATACTTTCAAGCCATAACTGAAGACACACATACAATTCATGTACCTGTGTTAACTCTACTCACTCACAAGCTGCTTTCTTATGGAGAGGTATTTTTTCTCTCTGTGGTTAAGGCTGCAGTCTATTAAAAAGCCCTGTTCTTGCATTTATCACATCTGCTTGGAACATTTTTTGGCTTGAAAAATGCTGTATTTACTCTGAGAATGAAGAGAAGACTTCTTAAAAGATTGAAGGAGAATTGAGAAACTCTCTATTTTTGAGGAATAGGTCTTTTTCCCCCTTGGATTCGTCTGCAGAAAACCTCTCTCCCTGTAGCTCAAAAACAGTCTCATACTGTCCTTCATGCTTTCATTACAGCTAAATCACTTTGCAGTTGATCACTTCCACTGGCAAAGACAGTGTAAAGACATGTACGGAGGAAATCCCATCATGCCAGTTCTGCTGCCACTCCTGTCAGTAGGAATTAAAAAGTCTGAAACTTGTTTGCGTTTAGAATAGGAAAAGTTTCATTGACTTCTGTGTAAAAACAGTCATGCACTGTGAAGGTAATGCATTTTGTCCTACATTGCAGTTTAGAAAGGAACCCGAGGATCTTCCTAATGCTCACAGCTATTGGAGATGCTTGTTTCACTTAGTGAAGTACGAACTCCTGTAGGGGAAGAGAGAAAGAGAGAGCCTTCTTCAAAGTAGATGGTACAACAGCAACAAATTTATCATGCTCTCAGATTTTTGAAGTCAAATCTAATACTGGAATATTTTTTTTATTCAGATAACACTGAAGAAGCACTTTATCAGACTTTAAAGCAGCTAGTTTTTGAAACAATGCAGCATCCAATTTCTCTAGTCTTGTCATGCTAGCTGTCTGAAAAAGTAATACTACATCACAAAAAAAACCCCACAGTTGCTCTTTTGAGAGCTGAGAATAGCACAGTATTTACAAAGCTGGCATTCTTCAAAAATTATACTTGTTTTTGGCAGTGAAGGCAAGAGCAAGTTATGATGACAGTATATTTATATCTTAGGCCTCCAAGCTAGTTCAAAAGTCTTTCTAAAGGTGCAAGGAATTAATCTTCCCCCCTATGCCCCAGAGGTCTAGTTTCAAGCAATTGCCAGAGGATGTCTGCAGCAGAACCTGACCAGAAACATGGTGTCCAGAATGGCAGGGCTCTGGCATTCCCTAGCAAAGGCCCCTGTGTTTTTCACACATTATTTCTGAACTATGCTTAATTAGGTCAAGCACCCAGTTTACAAAGATGCAAATTTTTTTAAGCTCTTGCCTTGAAAATGTACTTTCAAACTGAAGCTATGCTGCTGTTAGCTACGTGTTTTCCAACTTCAGAACGCTGGCAGTGCATGCTGTGCCTTGCACGGTAGCAAGGTGTCACTGCCTGGGAAACTAGAAGCTATGGGTTCTGGGGCACTGGGGACCAGACATTTTACATACAGTGCTTCCATAGCAGTGTATATGGTGTATATGGTGAAGGTTAGCTGCATTATACTTTGCTGACTTGGCAATGCAGAGACTGTGGCTATCTTGGCTGGGTGACACAGGTTGCCATAGGGATTCCTCTAGAAAGACTGCATTCCCTCAAGTACGTAATAGGTCATCAGCCAGCTTCCAGTCTTCTCATATGAAAGGCTAAAAAACAGAACTGTAGATTATTTTGAAACAAACTTCCATTAAAAAAGTAGGAAAGAATTTTAACTCATATCCTAAAAGTATTTTTAAGTGCCTGCCTTATGTACAAAGAGAAGCAACAGCTAAGGGGATCGTAAGTCTTACGCTGTGCACATAGACAAAAACTTGAGTCTCACAGAAAAGTAAATTACTGCAGACCTGCTACACCTACAACGGCTGGTCTACGTCAGTCAGCTCTAATATAAGGTGTACTGCCTTCCCTTCCCCAACGCTAGTCATGCCATGCATTCCTCACACATGCTTGTAGGCATTCATAGTTATTTGCACAGGCTGTATTGTCCCAACAAGTCTGAGATACATCTTTGCTCACCTGAGCATATCCGGACCTGTTTTCTGCACATGCAAAAAGATGTTTCAGGTTTCACTCAGAACGATGGTGGTATCACATTTTAAAGCTCTTCAGCATTTTGCTGAAGGTAACAGCCACAGCAAAGCTACTGCTCAGCCCCGAAAAACCAGCAGGAGCTGCTTGGGATGTTGCAGAAACATAGCTGTTGCAGATGGTGTATGCTCTTCTGGAGACCTTTCATAGCCCACGCAGCGTTGCCAGCAGCTGGCTCCTGCCTTGCCTGGCAGGGGGGAATCAAGCTCTTAACTTTTCTTAACAGACATAACATGCAGTGAAACTTGAATCTTTAATCCATTTTCTTGTGGCTTGAGATGTTTTCAGGTGATTGTCTGAACCACAGAAATATTTCAGAAAAGCCTCAATGCAGAGACTGACACGTGGCAATGGCCTTTGGGTGCCAGTCGTGACTGTCATCATGGAGAGCTGAACCTGGCATAAGAACTTGTTCTCACCTCAAGCAGTGACTTATCTTTGATGTTTTTCTGTGTGCTCCTCAGTGTATTTGTATGTGCTCTGAAGAAACCCAAGCGCTGGGGGAAATACCTAAAAAAACCCACGGAGCGACAGCCACTTCTTTTCTTCCCTATCCTCTCTCTTGCTCTTTCAGGTATACTCACAAGCTTTTGACAAAAGAAAAGCCAAGTACAGTTGTTACTATGTTAAATCGGAGGTCCTGTGGCAACTGTGCACAAATTAATGTGAACAACTCAGGAGCAGGTATTACTCATGGCTGAAAGCTAGAGCTTTTAATACCTGTAAGGTTGAAGCAGGACTCAGGCTTTTTCTTCTCCTACAGAGGTAGCATGGTCAGTGCTATGAGGAGGAGGGAGGAGTAGGAGAAGCGTCGCCTGCAGCCTCTGCCCATAGACAGCAGAAGCATTGCTAGGCACAGAGCATCCAGCTCAACGAGGAAAGGGAGACTCAAGTGATCAGAGAAGTATGAGCTGCCAAACTCAGAGGAGACTGCCTCCCAAGGAGTGGGGGAAGAGCTCCATCAGCATTTTGTTACCAGTTTGGGTTCTTGTAATAAAATGTATGAACTAAAACGCTCCTCTGTCCTCACCCCAGCTACCAACAGGCAGGATAGAGAACAATATTGGCAGTCATTCTGCACAGCCACAAAAGAAAATATCTGCCACAAGACAGTATAATGGGATTATCCTCTGTAATTGTTTGTACCCTATGAACTTGCAGCGTATCTATGCCCTCACGGTGTCAGAAGCCTGCAGTGCTGCTACAGAAATAACATGGACCACTGCTGAACCCGATGTACTGTTTTGTTAGTACTATGCATATACACTAGTCTGTAGGCTATAGCTATGAACTGCTGTGCGAAAGCAATGAAAACACTGAATATCATTTCACTGTCAAAGAGCAATGCGCATAAGCTTGCAATTAAGAACTATCGCTTTTTTTATTAAATTGCGATAACAAAAAAACCCAAATCCCTAAAATTAATCTGAGTTTAAACTGCCTTTTGACTGACAACCAAAGCTGTTTATCTCCAGCATGTCTGTTACCAAAAAAATAAAATTTCTCACCTCTCCACCCTCTATCCCAATAACTTTGTTAAGAAAATACAATTCTTTCTTGGTAGAGGGGGGGGGTAACAGACATACTGGTACATTACAGGTTGTTGGCACATTACCCGCCTCCTCAAGAAATTTGTTACTTTACATTTTCTAAGAAAACATGATTATATATGCCTGTGTGTATAGTTACATCTTTCACCACCAGTCTTCTCATACAACATACAGAGATGGTAAAAATAGTGGAGCTCATATTGAAATGCCAGGCTGTGCTTGTTTGGTATGCACTGTTCCAATTCAGTTTAAGACGAAGTGATTAAAACCTACCCTAGTTTCCAGTGTAAAGGAAACCTAACCTGTAGCACTATTAATCAAATCATCATCATGAATAAGCAACGGGGAAAAGAGGGAGGGGGGCATTCTTTTGTTTGTAAATAAGCTACAGCTTCATGGTCGAAAGCATGCTGTCGCTCTTCCAGCATTGACGTTCTACCGCAGAAAGCAAGGATGAACTTTTATTACAATTGGACCCTTTATTCTAGTGCAGAGTAAATAACATACTGTACATTCCCCAGAAGCTAAATGGTGAATATCCCATTACATGGTGCTAAATATCGGTATGAAGGTGGTACAGACTTACTTAAGAGAATTTAAAAAAAAAAAACCAAACATGCGTATTTGGAGAATAATTAAAGATGTACTATCCCACTTTTCTCTATTGCTTAAAAGTCAACTATGAATTGAGTTGGTTTGTTCAGATTAACATGAAACTGCTTATAAAAGGTTTCTTGTCC